GGGGGGATAATCGGCGATAAACCTGTGAGCATCATGGACATGTATTATAGTAAACAAAGATGGAAATATTTATTACAGTGAAGAGAACGTTTCTGTGCATGGTGGCGGGCTAGTACATTACTGAACTGTGTGTGCAACACGCGAGCCTTAACCCGAGCGTGTTTATCACAATCACGTCACAGACGGGCGCGCGCTCTCCACGCGTCAACAACAACAACAACAACGGCAGCTTTAAAACACCGCCTGATTGCCACAACATCATTCCCGTGCCATCTTCTTCATGCTGGGGATGGATGGGGTTTTTTTTTTTTAGCACCCAATTTTCAGCTAGGAAACATTTGATCCGATTCGGGCCATTTGTTCCACAGACTCGCTTCGTCTACGCGGGCTGTGAATGAGAACGGCGGAGGTGCCCCGATAATTACACTGCGGGTTTTGTATTTGTTTTTTGCGCGGATGTGTACGTGCGGAGTAGGAATATCTGCCGGTTTCGCTTCAGCGTGAAGCTTATTATTTACCCAAACCCATAACGAAGCTACGTGCTCACTCTTAAGATGTTCTTTGACAATTCGCCAAAAGGGACAACGCGAAGCAGACCGAAAATAAGTTTGCCTTAAGTTTGTGCGCGCGGCAGCACAGCCAGGAAGGAAAGCGCGGCGGCGCAGACGGCCACACGCGCAAAGTGGTCCCGGGAAGAGATGAAAGACTGTGGCACACGCCGTTGTTCATTTCATCCATTGCTCTCTGGGCAAGGGTTGGTAGAGCTCACGGAGATTTGTAAAGCTCCGAAACCCGCGACGATAGGAGCAGCGATTTGGTTCGCAGAGCCTCCCCCCCCTGTGTTGAATTGTGTCAGCTCCTGGTTTGTGTTGGGACTTCTCTGGGCTCTTGCAGCTCTTCCCACGCATTCATTTACCCAATGAGGAATTGGCAAAGCAGCCCAAGTTGCACCCTCCTGAAAAAGAGTCTCACGAGTTAGCCGTGGGTTTTCTCAGTGAAGGACTTTCATGATAGTAGCCGGGTGGTGCTGCTGGTGGTTGATGCACGTGGCCTGTGATGCAGCACTGTGGAGGTGAAGGTTGGTGGATCAAACAAATGTTGTCTCGAGGCTATTAACTATTTTTTTTTTACCAGATAAAGCCCACTGAGCTATACAGCTCTTTTTAAATCCTTTATATTAAGTTCGCTTGCTTGCTTAGGACCGTGCAAATCTTTCGGTCGTTTTTTAACCCACTTCCCGTGATCCAATCGAGCTGACATTTTGCAACACAGACTCGTTGTGCGTGACAATGCATTTTCGTGAGAAAAAAATTTCCAAAATTTTACACTGTTTAGGGAAATTTTTTTAAATATTTAATTACCAATTGTTTAATGCTGCCAGACAATAATCTGACCCATAGGTGGCAGCCATCTCAAGCCAGAGGACGAGAGGACTCTAGCCGCCCCGATGCCACGCATATAAAGGATTTATGGTGAAAAACTTTGTTTTTACGAGTTTACTTGTTAGAAGTAACCTGACCACAAATGATAGCTCAACAAAGTGGCTTATCACGTGGACATTTATAGCAGCAAATACTCTAAACGCGTGCTTCTAAATGTGGAGGGGAAAACCAGAGGACCCGGAGACAAATCCACATGACCACAGGAAGAACATGCAAACTCCAAATATTAAGGTGTCAGGGTAGGGATCGACCCCACGACCTCCTGCATACCAGGCAAGGTAGTTAACATCTCGCCACCTCGGCGCCATTCTACCATCTACATGACTCGTTTAGATTCCTTTTTTTTATTCTGTTAAAGTATATATATATATAACAATTTATAATGAGACACTTGGGAGCACAAACAAACCTCTGGTTTAAATTGTATTCTATCGCGAGCAGAATAATTGGAAATTCTGAATAATAATTATTGCTGAAGAAAAGTAATCATAGGAAAATAAAGTGCAATATTTTGAAATGCATTGCTGGGAGTTTGTTGTAAGCAATGTGAAATAAATACAAATGACACTTTAAGATGTGTTTTTCTCCAAGCTTCATTCCTTTTGTGCTGTATCGCACATCGAGAATGAGTATCCACTCTGAACCCGCAGAGAAAGAGGTGCATTGCCATTCTCTTAGAAATACGCATGTGGAAGAAGCATTCATAGAACTCCTGAAATACTGCACCTTCCAATGACCTCTGTTTTCCACGTAACAAGGGGTGCACTACCCCACCCACACTCCTTGGTACATATAACTATTCCGTCGTATGGCAATCACACTGATGCTTTTCTAATTCTTAGAGCTGGAATTAAGCCAAATTAAGTGGAAAACTTAATTCCTTTTTCGTGCCAAAATTGGTGACTAAGCTCAGATCATTAGTTCAATCACCAAAGTCTAAATAAGTACGAAAACTTAAGGCTGAGAGACGCCTTCATGAATAACTAAAGGGCATTATTATGAAGGTTACAGTTTGAGGTGGAGCGTTGACACGGTGGTTTGCACACTTCATTATGAACTTGACGATCAGATTTTGATTCCTGGCCATGGTTTACGTCAGAGGTAATCGATATCATAAATGGTTCTAGTCCCCCCTTCACGAACTCGCCTTGATGTACATGGTGAAGTATGGTTAAACAAACCCCCACGAACAACACTGCAAGGACAGGCCTTCAATTGAATGTTGAAGGGTCGTAAATATTAACAATAATAACAATACAATATTTCTATCTTTTTTACAATAATATCATTGTCAAAGTATTATTAAGCGCTCGCCTTGATCCTCCGAGTATGCTCTCATGTTCTCCTTGAATTTATCAAGATGAGCATCAAGGATATGGACTTTGAGGGACATCCTACAGCCCATTTTGCCGTAGTTCTTCACCAGTCTCAACCAGCTCCACATAGTTTTCGGCCTTGTGATTGCCCAGGAAGCCACGAACCACTGCGACAAAGCTGTTCCAAGCCACTTTCTCCTTACAAGTGAGCTTCTTGGGGAATGCATTGCACTCCAGGATCTTCTTTATCTGTGGTCCGACGAAGACACCGGCTTTGACCTTTGCCTCAGACAGCTTCGGGAAGAAGTCTTGAAGGTAGTTGAAGGCTGCCGACTCCTTATCTACAGCTCTGACAAATTGTTTCACACGGCCCAATTTGATGTGCAATGGTGGCATCAGCACCTTCCGGGGGTCCACCAGTGGCTCCCACTTGACGTTGTTCCTCCCCACAGAGAACTCGGTCCGCTGTGGCCAGTCCCGCCTGTGGTAGTGCGCCTTGGTGTCTAAATCTTTTGTAGTCATTTTTGTATTAATTAGTATAAATGCATGCTAATTTTGATTCTTATGTTGTTTTTTTCTGACTTTATGTAAATGAAAGGACACAAATAATTTGTCCGTCTTCGCATTAAAAATGGGTCAATTTCAAAATATCACTGTACTGGTCACAAAAGCAAAGTTTATGGGGAATAATAGCCATTTTCTGTACTTTTGAGGCATAAGCAATTAGGAAGTAACACTTACTACCCAGGAAAAAACATTGTTACACAGTGTTATTAACCACGTACAAATTAACAGCGTTTTTAGGATTTCAATAAGCTCACTTTTTTAAAGATTTTTTGTTGTTTGCATTTCTCATGCAGTTGCCTCTGTCAGTTGCCCCGGGATACTGTTTTCATCCCAGAGGGATTGTTCTGGTTAAAATAATAACAACAACAACAAAAGATGATTATTTTACTAGGAAAGCTTAATTGAATATCAAGACACTTCTTCTGGAGGGCCTTTAATTATTATTAATGGTTTGCTTCAATGAGCAATTGGAATACAATGCCAATCGGATTTGTCTAGAATCTCAACGTAACCTCATCTCAATATGCTGTACAAAATAATACTGGGAAAGGGAGGGTGTTGAAACAAATGATAAGTCGAAGCCTTTTGTCAATCTACAGTCATATGCATCATCCCCACGCCATATGAAAAGTGGGGGTTGTTTGACCATACTTCGCTACGATGATCAGGGGTTGGTGAAGGTGTGGGGAGGAGCCAGGACTAGTTCAGATATCATTGGCCACTGATGTTAGCCGTGGCCTGGAAATTAACTCGAGTTATCGCGCTGACCACTGAGCAACCGCTTCACCCTGGCACATGAATACACTCACCAACCCACCCACTCACCTACCCACTCATCCACTCACCAACCCACCCACTCACCTACCCACTCATCCACTCACCCACTCACCAATCCACCCACTCGCCTACCCACTCATCCACTCACCCACTCACCAACCCACCCACTCACTCACCCACTCACCAACCCACCCACTCACCTACCCACTCATCCACTCACCCACTCACCAACCCACCCACTCACCCACTCACTCACCCACTCACCAACCCACCCACTCACCCACTCACTCACGCACCCATGGCCTTCAAATGTATATTTGATTCAGTGCAATGTTCCATGGTCCATGATCTGGTGTTTGTAGCCAAAGTCGGACACAGGAGATACGATGTAATTTGCCACGTGTGTATTTGATGTCCACTGCATCGTCCATGCTTTGTGGGGATACAGTTGAGTGCTCCTCAATGTATGTATGTTGAACTTCTTTTGCACCATACATAGCCAACTGTGCTCATTGGAGATGTGGGGGAAGGACAACAAACTAAACACGAAAAGCAGTTCCAAAGATTTAAAAGTGCATAGCTCCAATGGTGTCCTAATATCGGAAGGATGAGAGTTCCAGACGGCAGCAGAAGCGCATCTGAAAGCGAGAAATGCAGTGACCGTCTTTGTTCGACGATGAGCTAAAAGCCGCCGCGAGGATGACCTTCTGTAGATGACCCTTCTGTGGAAGGTGGAATCCGTGCAGTCTGGCGGTGTGGTCGAAAGCATGAATGACCGTGTGCGCGAGACCGAGCGAGAACGTTAACTGTGAAGGTCACACGACATCACTGGTCCTCCACCACCACAACATGGGCCTTGTTCTTACCACTCTGGGGCCGTGTGCTCCCCAACTCCCAGATCCTGACACAGGAGGACTGGAACGTGGTCCTGTACCACGGCATGGCCTCCTCGTCTCCCTGGGCTGCGCTCTACTTCATCGCGCTCATGACCTTTGGAAACTACGTCCTCTTCAACCTCCTGGTGGCCATCCTGGTGGAGGGATTCCAGGCGGAGGTAATTCGCTCCAAACAATGCGCCTCCACTCCAGACGCGTTCGCGGTCAAAATATCTGCCGGCTCAACAACCCGCGGAAATACCGGTCATGACACGTTCTCACGCTAGTTGACAAAAGCATAAGATGTATTTCTTTTTCTTTTTACTGAGCTACCCTTTAGTTCTCAAAAGCTCCCCCCCCCCACTCGCCTATTTTCTCCTCTTCCACGAGCGACTCCGTTGCCTGCAAAGACCGCCACATGCGGCTCGCCTCTTGCCGTGACAGCGTGAGTGGTGAGCGTCGCACGGCATCGTTGTCACAAGGAGCGCTCATGCCGAGAGGGCGCGTATGCAGCCACTCGGCGTGAAATGGATTGATGAAATTCGAAATTGCTCCTGCCATTGTAGAGGTCGGCCCAAATCAATGCTTCCTTCGAAGGTTTGTAAACTTATTGTCGCGCGCGCGATCGATGGATAACCGTGGTTCCGTGCGCCCCTGCCAACCTCCGCCGCTCCCCTCCCCGCTGAGTCTGCCGCGCGTGGATGCCTCCGTGGCGATAGAGCGGCGAGGCTCTCAAGCGTTAGTTCACTGAGTTCACATCCCGGCCAAGGTTAATTCGCCCACGGCATCGTTGTCATCATTGTCATCGTGGTCTTCGCCTCCATTGGTGTGTTGATGTAAATATCATTAGTCAGGAGGAGCATCAGGAGTGGAACATCGTAGCATCGTCATCAGCAGAAGTGGTGTTAGCATCGTCATGATCATCTGCAATTTGTTTCATCGTCTTCATTGTGGTCTTTATAAACGGCAACTGTAGAAACAAGTTTATTATCAGCAGCAGCAGCATCATAATCATTGTCATCATGCATCTTTTTCAGATTACTCTAATACTGTAGATCATCTTCGTCAACATGTTCATCGTCGACAGCAGCAACAGCAAGATAGCACGATTATCATCATCACTGGTTGGTAATTGGTGCAGGGAATCCAAGAGTACGTGCTGTTGTATTAAAGTGACTAGGCCCTGATTAGACCGTGCCATATTAATGTAGAATTTATACAATTGGCTGTGAATCATCAGAGTGATGAGCGATGCCTATTTAAGCCCAATGTCTTTTTTGACATTAGCTTGGTGCATTGCATTGGCAGTGTTTTGTATTCCTTTAAAGTAAAATACAGAGTGATAAAAAATATGGACTCGATTTTAAATCGCTATATCTCTGCAACCACGAACCGCACATGAATGAAACTCTTACCACTTGAAAGGGCGGGGCATATAGTTTCAAACGATTACCAATAGATGCTGTCTCCCAACGCACAAACAGCCCCTAGCCTCAGTCATTCGCAAGATGGTGACACGGCAACACACAAGGGACGGTTTGCGTTCTGCAGTTCAGCAAGATTGAATCCTTAGTTGCGGTGCAGCGTGCGTTTCAACAGCGTTTTGGCATTGATCCGCCAATGTCAGAGCATTCGTCGTTGGTACCGACAATTTGAGGAAACAGACTGTTGATGTAAGGGGAAGAGCACAGGGCGATCACGCACCTCAGAGGAAAACGTGAGAAGAGAGGCGTTTGGGACGAATTCAACTATCGTCTCAATGTTGTCCGTACAGCAGGTGGAGGGCACATAGAGCATTTATAAAATGGTTAGTAAAGCTTGATAACACATTAAACCGTTTGTAACTTTTTGTGTAATTGTAACATGTTGCCATCGGGAAATATACCGCTTTGAAATTGCGTCCATCTTTTTAAACAGCCTGTACTTTCTTAATTAAAGTGTGGTGTTGTTAAAATAAGACCAACTCAATACAGTGGAGTCCACTCGAGTACAGAAATAGCGTATTTCTTTTCATGGCATTTGTGTGTGAGTGTGTGTGTGTATATATTGCGGGGAGCGGTAGTGTAGCAGTTGGCACGCTACGCTATAACCTCGACGGACCCGAGTTCGATCTGCGCACGGTCGACACCAGTGACGAATATCTCAACCGGTCCTGGGCCTCCCCTCGGTCGACCAACCCTCAAACCTGGTGTGATGTCTAAACATTTCCATTCGGGAGACAAAGGCGGCCGGGCGTGGTGCTGGCCACCCATCCCCTCGTGTGCTACGCTGGCCTTCATTGGTGCTCGCTGACAGCACCTGCCGCAGAAATCTGTTGAGGCTATATGGGGCATCTTTGTCTTATGCCTGTGAGCAGGTTAAATCCGTGCCTGTCTGTGCCCCCTCCGCCTCGCGTCACGATTTGTGCTCTGTACCAAGCTCCTATTGAAATATAATTAAAATACATATTCAAAAATCCTTACTCTCTCTCTCATCTCTGAATCACAGGGCGATGCAAACAAGTCTGAGTCCTGATGGGGAGCAGTGCTCCCCCTATAACCTGGATGACGGACACGACAAGCTTAAAGAACTCCGCTCCATTGCCGGTGAGGCCCAGCGCAAGCGTGGCTTTGCAGCTGCGTCCATGTGTGTGAGTGACCCGAGTTTGATTTCGTGGCCGGGCTGTTCTTTCATCGGTGGCGAGTGGGTATCAGAGCTGGCCGTGAGTGAACTCAGCCTCGCGTCTGGTGTGTAAATATCGGCACCGGAGAGAGACAAAGGCGGCTGGGCATGGTTGTATCAGCTATGCTTGCTCCCTCTTGTGTCCTGCCAGCCTCCGATTAAAATGGTTGGCTACGTACGGTGAGAAAGAAGTCCAACATACTATGTGTGGTCACAGCACTTGCCCCAACACACGACAAACGCTGTATGGTAGACCGATGTGTTTCCTTTGTATGTGTGTATATGTTCACATGTGAGCGCGTATGTGCGTGTGTATCTATGTCCCTGTGACTGTGTGTAGATGTGTGAAGTTGTCCACTAACAGCACTTGCCCCAACACACGACAAACGCTGTATGGTAGACCGTTGTGTTTTCTTTGTATGTGTGTATATGTTCACATGTGAGCGCGTATGTGCCTGTGTATTTATGTCCCTGTGACTGTGTGTAGATGTGTGAAGTTGTCCACTAACAGCACTTGCCCCAACACACGACAAACGCTGTATGGTAGACCGATGTGTTTTCTTTGTATGTGTGTATATGTTCACATGTGAGCGCGTATGTGCGTGTGTATCTATGTCCCTGTGACTGTGTGTAGATGTGTGAAGTTGTCCACTAACAGCACTTGCCCCAACACACGACAAACGCTGTATGGTAGACCGATGTGTTTTCTTTGTATGTGTGTATATGTTCACATGTGAGCGCGTATGTGCGTGTGTATCTATGTCCCTGTGACTGTGTGTAGATGTGTGAAGTTGTCCACTAACAGCACTTGCCCCAACACACGACAAACGCTGTATGGTAGACCGTTGTGTTTTCTTTGTATGTGTGTATATGTTCACATGTGAGCGCGTATGTGCGTGTGTATCTATGTCCCTGTGACTGTGTGTAGATGTGTGAGGTTGCCCACTAACAGCACTTGCCCCAACAGTCTGTGTGGCTATATGGGGTTCTTTATCTTGGTATATGGGACTGGCTACCCACCACTTGTGTGCCATTACGACCTTTCGTAGGTGCTCGCTAACAGAAACTTGCACCAACAGTCTTTTAAGGGGCCGTCCATAAATGACGTCACGCACCTAAGGGGGGGGGGGGGTTTAGAAATGTGACGTCACATCAAAATGCGCCACTTTTAATAAATATAGGCAACACGTTCTACTTCATTAAATAGACGTTTTAATAAATGTTTTCTCCTACAACATCAGAGTGCACCGGCACATAAAATACACACTACAATGGCAATGGTTTAAAATTATTTGAAGCATGTTTTCTTTTGGGGGGGGGGGGGGGCAGAGCTTTGTGACGTCATATTTGAGGGGGGGTCTGACTTTTTGTGACGCCGCGTGACGATGGGGGGGGGGGTGGGGGCAAAAATTGTCCAAAATCGCGTGACGTCATTTATGGACGACCCCTAAGTCTTGAGGGGAGGGTTGACTTGGTCTTTGTTTTACCTTTGTGCATATTCACATGCTTACGCATGTATGTACACACACAAACGAATGAGCCTGTCCCAATAGCTACGAAGTGCACCTAGCTTGGCACGGGTGCCGTAATCCAGCACCTTGTAAGTGGGATTGGTGAATGGCGCACAGATCATTGTGTGTTTTGCGTGACACCTCCATTCTCTGTACGGCTGGCAAGAAGTGTCAGGGACGACTGCAACGCGATTCCTCGGCTGTCTGCGAAATTTATGTCGCGTTCTCTCTCCCCTTTGTGCGCGTGGGTTTTCCCTGGGTACTCCGGAGGGAAATTCCTCCCCCCGACCTGCAAAGAATTCATAAAGCAAAAAACTGAATCCTCAGAACATCCTGACACAAGGACCCCCTTGCAAAATCATCGCAGGACGCAGTGCGGCTCCTACGCCGCGGTCACCGTGCTGTGCCCGCCCGCGAGCCGCTTCGCACTGATTGTGCCGGTAGCTGTCCCGATGCCGTGCTCACAATAACAACAACAACAACAAAGCCGTCACATCGCTCTTTTTATCTAACAGCAGCGAGCAAACAAAGCTTTCCCCACCCCCGCATAGCCTTCTACACAAACACACACAGAGCCTGTGTGCCCTCTAGCCTCCACGCAATGATTTCAGCGCGTAGTGGAGGGGGGGACGCAGAGCCGATGGACTGATAGTCGCGGTAAAGCGGGCGAGAGCACATCGCACGGTGTCTGCTCAAGCTCTACCGCAGGCAACAACGAAGACTGGGAGGGCCGCCCATCTGCTGTCAAGGCAGCCTTGAGGAGGGGGAAAAAACACAAATATACAGAGGTGGCCCAAAAGCGCAGGACACATGGGGTTATATTTATCTTAACAAATCAACGAGGGCGATTTCGTTTATTTTAACGGATGTTCATACTCACTTCCGTCAACATCAACGGTTGCATGGATTATTTCTCGTATTGAATGTGCGGCTTTTTTGTTGTTGAGATTTACACGTGCACTCTTTGAACATTCCTCAATTACGTTTCGTCTGGATTCATTCAGAGTGCTTGATCGACGCATGTAATTGTCATCTGACAAGGAAGAAGAAAAACAGAAATATTTATCACGATAACAGATCAAATATTCACGCACAAAAAACGAAAACAAATTATGCTAGTGTTAAAATTAATTGCAGAACCTGATGTGTCCTGAACATTTGGGACAACGTGTATCTTCTGAATTGTGAGCACATGCAGAACGATATGAACAGAACGCCCAACAAAGCCCTCTGCTGTCAGTCGACAGCTTCCGAGTATGACCCGTGGATTTTACGTTTCAAGCATAGTTTTTATTTATCCATTTACGCGCCTTGTTTTAACAAGAGCCAGCTTTTTGGATTTTGGTTTAGAGGGATTTGTTTTGTTTTGTCTGAGACGGATTAGCACATGAAAGCGAGGCCGTCACACGCGGATAAATGGATTATTATATGTTTTGCATGCTTAGATGTCTGCCCAGAGTTGACTCAATGCATTGGCATAACATATGAGGGGATTTCAATCATTCATTCATTGGTATCCAACGTATTCAGTTTTTTTGTTGTTGCACATGTCCATGCATAAAATTGTCGGAATGTATTTAAACATGTTTATTTTGAAAACTATATTCTAGTCACTGGTCGTCTCAGAAAATTATCACAATTATCTCTTCAGGATCAATTAAATATTTTTCTTTGCAGGAAATCAGCAATTATTATACAATGAAAAGACTGCCCCCCACTCCACCAGAGTAATGTGGAATTTCCACTACAGGGTTAGGGATGTATGGGTTTGAATTCCGTCTGTGATTGAATCAAATTCTCAATAGTGACATTTATAGTGGCAAATTTTTATCCAGGGAAGTCTTCACAAGTCTCTAGACACTTTTTTTCAGGAGGTCTCTGAATTGAGATGCGTTTTCTTTCTCGGGTGGGAGAAACCTGGAGGAATAGCTGGAGAAGCCCTCTTTGCACGCAAACACTAGAGGACTAATTCAAGGTCTGCACGGATTGATTGAAAGCCATCATGCTGCACTATTAACCCCTGGCCACTTCTACCACCTCCTCTTTTCCGAACATAGATGGACTCGTCCATCTGGCCAACTGCCAAATCGCTTTCCGTGGTCCCTGACGTTAGGAAAATCCGCCACTTTTTTTTCTTGCTGAGGATTTCACACGTGATGATGATTGCTTGTGTTGCAGTCGAAACGTCGTGAGAATTTTTATTAATATTATTTTTATTATTTTATTATTTCCCTTCTACGTGACTTTAACGAAAAAAACTAGAATATAAGCTCTCGCGGCGTTTATGAGTTTCAGAAATCTGCGTGCAAACTCTTGCCCTCCCCAAAGCCTTGCATCACAGGCGTGCATCGCCATAGTTAGCTAAATGATGGTCTCGGCTCGGTAACTTGTGACATATCGAAGCTGTCGTATAACTAGTTTAGTTTTCACTTAACGTGTAAATCAACCTGGCCCACTTTGAAAATAGTCACAACGGGAAGATGAAAGGGTTCCATCTAGTGTCGGGTAGAGGGCTAATGATGACAGCCGGGTGGCTCATAATGGCCTTGCTGGGACCCCGGGTTCGAATCCACCCATGGTTAAACCTGATTCTCAGCTGTAGTCACCAAGTACTGTGCAAAAACACTCATCATTTTCAGTGATTTTTTTTTCATTTTGTTCAACTTCAACTATACGACAACTGTGGAGATACTTTGGCAATTGAAGGGAAGCCAAGAGTACTTCTGCAATGTCAGTGTGATGTTACACTGCTGTGAGTGAGAGTTTTAATGTAAATGTAATTTTCATGACATTTCAGTGGCTAATAATAGTCATATTTGGTTTTATTTATAGCGGTGGTTCATGCAAATTGCCTTTCATAATTTCTGAGGAGCCACACAGAAGTGGGAAGGCAGCAGCCGGTGCCAACAATTGGCCAAGCTCTGCAGTCCTGTATATATCAAGATCTTCCCAGCCAAACCACGAGTGTTTACAAATTTGGGAGGAAGTTGGCGCACCCAGAGAAAACCCACGTGTGTGAGGGGGGCAACACTATCCCATACAAAACAAGACAGTTTCGATTTAAAGCTTTCGTGACTGCAGGGATTCATCTTCTTGGTTCTTTCGGTAAAGTCACGTAATGTCCTTTTTTCAAGCGAAACGTCGTGAGAATTATTTTATTATGTTTTATTTTTATTATTTTATTACTTCCCTTCTACGTGACTTTACCGAAAGAACCAAGAAAAATAACAAGACAGATGATGCCAGTCCAAGCTTTGCTTTAACACTTTCTCCTGACAAGCCACGGCGTGGGAAATGCGGGTTCCAACATTTGTACGATCCACCATCCCTCACCTCCACAGTGCTGGATTACAGGCCACGTGCATCGCCACCACTGCCCGTTATGGGGACAACAACAAAGCTGCAACAACAACAACAGTTTTGTTCATTAAAAAAAGATCCGTGATACCATCTGTGCCATCTTCCAGGGCCGTTGCCGGATGTGAAACGAAGCCAGGAAGTTCCGGATGTGACGTTTTGTTTGCCCTTGAGCTGTCGCTCCCGTAACATATTTTCAATTGGCAACAGAAAATAACGCGTGAATTAAAAAATTTGCGTAAAAAAAATTACGCTGGGAATTAGGAAAATGTCGTTGATCTCCACGTGAGAATGAACGCGCTGTTAATTTGCGTTCATGCATGAAGAAACCTCCACCTCTTTCCAAACATTGTGACATTTTAAAAAGGTTGCATTTTTATTTCCAGGCAGCTGTCACTGAAGCAATGATATGTTCTTATATATTTTAATCCTGCCTTTTTCATAATTTCCACCACACCCCCCACCCCCTTTTTCACGGGACACAATTCAGCTGGAGAATTTCATTAATTAACGCTTAAATCTCCATTATCAAAGTGTGGATTTCCCTCATTAACTTTTACAATCAGAGTTTTTCCTTTTTTCAAGCGATAAAAAAAAACCTTTTAAAAACTTTCGAGAGCAGCGTTTAAAAAGAACCACCGTGCAAGATGGCCAATGAAAATGAATTCGCATGGTGCTCAACTCTTACCGAAACGCATATTGCGTGCGTGAATGGTTCAGATGCTGGCGCTGTTGTGGGTGGGGTCAGTCCGTTGTTGAGGTGGCCACGGTGGCGCATTGCTCGGTGTGCCAAACTGGCACCGGTGAATTCATGTTTCTGCCACCATTGACTTAAACCCGGCTCTCAAGTGATAGTCTAAGCCCGGTCGCCAATGGTTGCAACAAACAGCTTCTCGCAGTGAATTAAGTTTTTTCACTCAATTTGGATAAATATGGTGTTTGACTCTCACGCGCCAATATCAAAGCGAAGTGTATGCGCACGTGCGATGCGATACCTCTCGTGTGCAGGATACAAAAAAGGATGCTTCTGTTATGCTGAAAATCTCTTCCACAACACTGGTACATAGGATGACTGCTCTATGAGATTTCCGAATGGATTCTCCATCGCATCACATGGGGCCCGGTAGCACACTTTGAATACATTGAGGTGGCGAAGAGGCGAACGATATATAAAAGTGGTTGATTTGTGCTTGCACAAAGCCTGTAAGACTCACACCATTGTTATCTTTTTTCTTACGTATGATGGGAAAAATTCAGCGATGTAGAAATGGTCAGGCGGAGGCGATTCCTGCTTCAGTGGGCATGAAGGTTGTTACCCATATCCTACTTCCAGTCCTGAGCCAGCGGTGTAAATTCCACATTCGTATGGTGTGGGTGAGTCTATCAATCATAATAAAATCGCACGTATATTTGAGGACAGCACGAGTAACATGATACATCGAGGGAGTCAAAAGATTCACACCACGAAGGCTTCTAGAGATTCATACCGCTATGGATTTTATGTTCGCCGCAACGGCAATAAACACAGCGATTCGCAAATCCAATCTTGACCCCAAATTGTGACCTGTCATTGAATTCTGGGAAGGGGTCAATCGTTGAAACCTTGCTTTCATCCTTCCGGCAGTCGTCCGGGTTCCAACAAGACCACATTTGTTATCATTTGCTCATTTGCGTATGACTGGAGACAAAAACGAAGGACCCCCCCCCCTCCCCCAAGGTAGTCTGCTGGTTCCAAAGCTCTTAGCGAGCACCCAATAAGTGGCAATGTTCACATATCGCACCAGGTACTCATTTGAGGCTGAGTCGACCTAAGGGAGGCCCGGGACCAGTTCACATACAGTAGGTAGTGAGTCATATCTGAACCCGTCCTTACACTCCCAACGAACCCCCCACACCCTCCAACCCTCTTACTCACGCGGTGAAGTATGGTTAAACATCTGGCATTGCCAACACCACTCGGAGGAGGCCTTCACCCAGCAGTGTGTGATTATCAATAGCCTGCAAATTATGAAGAGCTTGGTTATTCAAGTGGTCAGCATTTAGATTATGATCGTTAACTTCAAAGACGCCACGCTTCACCTGATATGATCCATTAATATTGCCGCCGCTTCGGAGTCCATCCCGTGTTTTGTTTTACCCACTTTGATGAGTAATTCAAAATCCATCCTGCACAGACTTTTGACCGAAGAATGACATTTACCGTTGTGAATTTAATTGAAATGTATTTAAATATTAATTAATGACAACAGAATTACGAAAGATGCTCAGATATTGTTCCGGCGACAATGTTTTACTTGTGCTTTCGTTTGCATCGTCTGACGATAATAATTGGCTTCCCTTTCGTAATCCGCTGCTGTGCGCGTGTTGAACTTTTTTCGCACTGTACGGAGCCAACCGTGCTAATCGGAGGTGCTGGATGACGGCCGACCCATGCTGTGATGATTATGGGAGTTTTTTTTGGACCATACTTCACCAAACTGTTGAGGGTGGATTGGAAAAGAGGTGGATGGGGTGGTGGGGATCGAGTGACAATGACTTGTTTAGAAATCACCCGCGACTGATCTTAGCAATGGCCTGGAATGGAACTCAGCTCACCGTGTTCATAACCACGACACCATTGTTCCACCGCTAATATTATCTTGCCCCAACGGTGGTGATGATTTGTTTATAGCCAACGAAGAGCAAAACTAATGTGACCCCATTAGTCTGTATGGCTATTCTATGTTTCTTGCGGTAAAGTCACGAAGATAGAAAAAAAAATGAGAATAAAATAATAAAAACGAAAATAAAGTGGCTATATGTCTGTGTGTGTATATCTCTCTGTTTGTCACTTGCCCCAACAGTCTGTTAATGCTATCCCGGGGGGGCGGGTGGATATTTGTCTTTGCCTTTGTGCACGTGTGCAGTGCTGACACCCAATGGACTCCTGGAAGGAAAGTGCATGTCAATGCCACCGCTCATCACCCACACGGCCCCCACCCCATGGGGGTCTCCTCGCTCCCCGTCTCCCGACTCACGGAGAGGGAGCAGCTCCTCCCTGGGGCCCTGCCCCGGGGTCCCCTCCCCGGTGAGAGATGCGCACGCACGCAACGACTCCACGCGGACTACATCTACGGTGCATTCACGCACACACAGACACACGGCGAAGGTGCTAACGCTGTTGGGGCCCAAAGACAAAAAACTATTCTGGTGAGATGACAGAAAATATAGAGACGACATTTGGAGATGTAGTGAGATTGAAGGAGTAGACAAAAGAGGGAAATTAGTGCGGTGACAGAAGAGATACATAGCACCAATTACTAATTTAAGGCTGAGCTAACCTAGACGAGGCCCAGCACCTGTTGAGACATTGGCCTCTGGTGTTAGCCGTGTCCAGGAATCAAAATTAAGCCGCCTGGTTCGTCGCGCAGCATTCAAACCTCCATGCCACCGCTCCCCACACGAAACATACACAAAGATCCGACGTGTAGCCTTTAACAGACTGTTGTGGCGAGTGCTGTTAGTGAGCACCTGTGAAGGCCGGTATGGTACACGAGGTGTCGGCTGATGAGCAATCACGCTCGACCGCCTTTGTCTCCCCAGTGGCGGTGTTTACACACCGTGCCAGGTATTCATTTGAGTCGACCTAGGGAGGACCAGTTAAGTGGGGTTGGCCCTGAGCAGAAATCGAACTCGCTGAGTTCAAAGTGCAGTGTTGCTGACCGCTGCACTACCGCTCCCCCACACACAGACACACGCGCACACACGTTGCAGACGCTGTCATTTTGCATTCCCAATCTTTCAGGTTCAAGTCATCGATGGGCACGAGGTTAAAATGGAAAGACAAAGATGCGCAATTGATTTTCTCAAGGCTAAATATACCCCTCCCATCGCAGTCTCGACTCGTAACAAATGTGAATTTAATGAATAAAAAATGAACAAGGCTCACTGAATAATAGCATGAGCATTAACAAAGATGAAATGTCTTTGGGTGCTAATATTCAACACACTGGCCAAGTGTGTTTATAGCCACAGTTGATATAATTGCACACTTTAGCTTTCATGCACGGCAAACACAATCGCAGATTGTAATATTTTATTTTGAATTAGTTTCAATTAGATTTACCTGTTATGCCCATATGTGTCGTACGATCGTGGGCAGGCCTATTTGTCCTGTATAGACGAACGTCGTGGTTAGTACATTGGACACACAACCAAAAGGTTGCGACTTCACATCCCAGTCATCAGTAGACTCAACCCATCATCTGTCTAGGGTTGATAAAGTTAGTACCACTTTGTGAGACATCACTATTGGTTTACTGTGGACAGTTGAAGACCCGGTCATTGTTACCAGTTGCTCTTAATTTTCCGCTTTGGATAGACTACGACTGTCATAGGATTGTGGAATGTTCACTACTGGCTGCTAATGGAGGCAAGACGATGACATGCTCATTACAGCAGGGAAGCACTGGCTTTTGACGAGACATTACTCAACATGGTCATCCTGTGTAGGGACTGGCCCCTGCCGTAGGAATGTGGAATCTACACCTCTGGCTAGAGTCTAGTCGCAGAGTGTAGTTAGGAACAAGGGATAGGGCTATGGTCTCGTTAGCTTGTGCAGTGAGGGTTCGTGTTAGGGTCCGGTTGGCCAGTGTGGTTATGGATAGGTGTAGGGCTCTGGTCTGGGCACTAGTGTGTTCATGAGTATGAGGTTTATGAGTATGAGGTTTATGAGTATGCTTGGCGAGTGTGGTTAGATTTAAGGGGTAGGTAGGGTTCGGGTCTGGTTGGCCAGTGTCTTTGGGTGTACTCGGTAGGGCTAGCTTCTTATCAGTTTCTTGCACTTAGGGTGAGAGGCAGGGCTGGTGCTCGGAACGGACTGGTCGACTTGCGTGATTGAGAGAGTTCACGGTGGGACTGGAACCTGTTCGGTCTCCGCGGTTCGCGTTCGGCTGTCCGCCTTTTTCCAATTCTCCTCTCGCCACGGGCGCTCACGGCCCCCACCGCACCCGTGCGTTGCGCGCGCGCAGCCCAGCGGGCGCAGCTCCCCGTGGGGCGGCCGTGGCAGCGTGTGCAGCAGCCGTCGCTCCAGCTGGACCAGCGTGGGCCTCGACGGGTTCCTGCCGCGTCCCGGCGGGCACGCGCTGCTGCCCGTGCGCCACGACGACAAGGCGTCGCTCTCGTCGGCCGTGCAGAGGGACAGCCTCGCGCAGGTGACCTCGAACCTTCCGAGAGACGCCTTCCTAGGTGTCTTGGAAGACGTCGCTTGGCTCAGCGGCACCACCACCACCACCAACAGCGGCAGCAGAACCTGTAGCTTCATTGTACCTCCTCTGCCGGAGCAGCAGAGGAAGCATGAATACTTCTAGAAGAGGCAGTAATATCTCTAGAGGAGCTATCTAGGGCCACTGCTAATGGGCGCTCCACACCCCCGATTCCCTCTTACACTCTTTGAGTCCATGGGATGCTGCCAGAGTGCAATGGTTTATGCTCTCGTAAAGGAGTATAAAGCATCACGTGAACTCCGGTCATCCTCACAGTGCCTTTTGGCTGGCCATCGATAGAAGACGGTCGCTGCATCGCGCACTTTCAGATGCGCTTCTGTGGCCGTCTGGAACGTTGTTCCTTCCGATATTGGGAAAGCCGCTGGAGCTATGCACTTTTAAATCTAGATTGAAAACGAATTTCTTTAGGACTGATTTGTCTGTTTAGTTTGTTGTCCTTCCCCCGCACCTCTGTTCAGCACGGTTGGCTACGTATGGTACGAAAGAAGCTCAATATACATACATACCGCACACTGGACGTGCAATACAAAGGTGGCCGGTTCGCGTTTGATCTCACAGGGTAGCAGTTGCCTCTGTCAATGCAGCCATGTAAATGGGTTCACCACAGTTGTGTGTGGTGGGGTCAAGTTGTAACCAGGGTCTTTAACGTCTCTGGAAGATTTACAGATTTCCCAATACGACACAGTGACCAGATTCTCCGCTTGAGAAAAGATGGTCCAGAAAAATTTGATGCACCCCAAACTTGTGCCTGGTGACAGTTGAAGGCATGGAGATTTGGTGGCACAACTGCTTACCGGATGATAAGACGCGCCCCTCACATTTGCTTTAAAATCTTGGGAGGAGGAGAAGGGAGGGTGGTAAATAGCATCTTGTCATTTGGAGTGAACGGCACACTTCAACAAGATCACGATCCTGGTACAAAAACGAGGACAGGTGGCAACCCCAGCTGGGAGTCTCGCAATAAAAAATAAAAAGTTGATCACTTTTGTGTAATCCACCAACCCCTTCTCCGTTGCGCCCCTTTCTCCCCCAGTGGAGCCTGAGGAGCGTCAGCCCGCGGGGCAGCGTGTGCTCGGCGGGCACGGAGGACGGCCTCTCCCCCCGGGGCCTCCTCATCGCCCGCCGCGCCGCCTCCTGCGACCTCCCCGAGCTACTCCAGACGCCCGCCATGCGCTGCAACGGCTCGCCGCTCTCCCCGCTGTCGCCGCTCTCCCGCTCGCCCTCCCTGCCGAGGGGCGCTCGCTTGGCTCAGCGACACCACCAACACCACCAGCAGCAGCAGCATCAGCAGCAGCAGCAGCAGTTCGTGTCACACGGGAGCAGCCCGCTGCCCGGCAGGGAGACGCCGAGATTGTCACGCAAGTTCAGCGACGACGCCGAAGAGATTTACGATGTGAGGGCCGGTCCACGCCGCACGGCATTGTGCGACTCGCTTGCTCAGTACCCATGCCGGGTGTTGACCAGGCACGTCCACACATATCTTCTTTATCTTTCCGATGGTTGACCTATTAAGAGCGACCTTGTAGAGATTCAAATCAATGCAATTTAGCCGTTCGATTGCTTCGTCCAACTTGGCAAAATGCAAAGGAATCTGGCCACCCACCAGCTGGGTTCACGTATACATTTGGGGCAGTGCGAAGTCACGTGATCCATGATTTAGGGGTTTGTAGCTGCAGTCGCCTCTACCCGCCATTCTGCTATGCGGAAGGGCCAATGCCCAAAATGTCACTGATGAGATATATATTTTTTATGGCAGTGTTATTGTTAATTGTGCATTTGAATCGCTGCCAAAGCAGCGGCATCACCAGAATATTCGTTGGGTAAAAAAAACAGAACATACGGCACGTATATTCCAAAGACAGATAGAACAGTTCTGGATTAAAGTCGTGATCCCGAATTGAATGAGCTCATCAAATCGCCGGCGTGGACGGTGAACTGTGACATTTACGACGGCGTTCAGAGCTGAGTCAAACAATCAAAGCGTTTCCCTGCTCACGTGAACGCATGCCACGATGCTCGTCTCTGCTGACAGTCCCACGAGAGCCTATGGGGGGGGGGGGGTTATATATGGGTGATTGTTACATCATGGCAAATAATAAATACCCACGATACTTTGTAGCCCTTTATTTAACATATAAAGTGCAAAGGTTAAACTGTCTCACTACCCAAACAAACATGGGGTGGAGCTTATTTACATTGGCAGTCCTGAGCCGGTGGTGTAAATTTCACATTGCTATGGCAGGAGGGCTGTATTTGCATGAGGGGCAATGGGTATTTGAGTCATGGGAAATTGTAATTATTCACATTCACTTGCAGGCCTACTATGCACAGTGAAAAATGCTTCTTCTCCACTCCCCGATGCCCTGCTCTTGTTACCTGCATCTTCGCTGAATTTCTGCATCTGCCTGCAATCTGCAGACCCATCATTTTAACAACGACCTAAGCACAACGAGTTCGCTGGAATCAGCAGCTATTCGTGCTATTCCGCACACTTTTCCGCGCAATTCTTGCAAACTTTGTTCCGTTTTCTTTGTCAATGTTCGTGTTTCTGACCCATACGCCGCAGCAGGTAAAAATGCAGTGATTGAAAACAATCTTCTTCAGGCACATTGGTTTGCTGCTTTCCATTATTGACTTCAATTTCCGAAAGCCGTCTAACCACCCGTTGTCCAGCTTCTTTTTACTTATTTATACGCGCTTACAATTGCGCTGAGAGACACAAAGAGAAACACGTCGATCAGACAGCATATGCGAGTTACAGACGTCGTTTCGACGCGCGAGAATGTTGGCTGGGCTTGGGACAGGACACGGCACACTAAAATGGACGATGCCATGTGGTCGAGACTAACGATGGAATAGCTGCCAATGGAGGGGAACATGTCCGGGAGAGCACTTACACCACGGAGATGGAGCTGGGTAGATCATTGCATCACGAGATCATGACAGATGTTGAATGCCTGGTGAGGCCTTCTTCAAGCAGTGAAGAGATCATGGCTGATGATGGGTTTACGTTTTATTTTGGCTGTACAGGGAAAACCCTTTGGCCAATACGTGCTCATTTTTTTATGGGGACCCGGTTCCACCAAAATGATCCATGTGTTTGGCCCAACCATAATTGATCTGTAAGTCGTGTTCCAGAAGTACGGCGTTCGCCGTGTTGCCCTTTACGAAAGTAACTTAAACACGTGAACTCGAAATTGTGGCATAAATGTACCTGTTATCCGCACTTCTTAAAACGGATAAAGGTATGTTATGTACGTGGATAATGGGAGAGTGTAGGATCCACCAATCTTCTTCACCTGCATATCGTCATGGGAGATGCGTACCGGGCAATGATCGTTTGAGCGGGTTGGCACTTTGACATTATTGCCTTTATTTTATTTGTAAATATAACCTACGAACATTTAACAGAGATATATCGTTCACTTTTAGCCAAGGTCAACTGCGGATCATTTTTGTAAAACAGCTCACGGCTGAATGTGTCTTAACCGCGTAAACAAATATAATCAATCGATCGATCAAATGGAAGAAACACGTATTGGCTTCTTCCGCATGCACGAACTGTCTTTCAGAGCCACTGCTTCAGGCTCCGACGGCGACTGGAACCCTACAAGCCCAAGTTTTGCGAATCCCGAAAAGAATGGTCGCTCTACCTGTTTGCTCCGCACAACAAGTGAGTACGACTCGTCAGTTCAAGGTGGAGAGTTCATCGTGGACAAAATCCACTTCCTTTATCTGACACCAGATAAGAGTCCAATGGATGCTGCCACAGAGCAATGGTTCGCACACAGGACATGCAATCCAGAGGTCGCCGGTTCGATCTTCTGTCACGGCAGCTGTAACGATGGGGCACGTTTCTTAGATCCATGCGTCTCTATCCACGCAGCGGTATAAATGGTAAGCAACCGCAGTAAGTTGACGGGCAAGTCGCACGCGATGGAATCATTTGTCAGTTCGCCCACCTCTTCCAAGACCTCTGGCCATTGTGGAAGAGTAGGCCAATGTCTTCTCGAGGGGAGTCTCTAGAGCTCTCTGTAGTTGAGGCCCCCTTCCGGCAGCAGTGGCATTGAGCAAGCGATCGTGGGGCTGCACTGTTATCTTTTCCGACGAGTTTGTGTTCGTGACTGTTCCCCCCGCTGCTGGCAGGGTCAGAATGCAGTGTCGCAAGATCATCGCACACAAGGTGTTTGACCACGTGGTGCTTCTCTTCATCTTCCTCAACTGCATCACCATCGCCCTTGAAAGGCCAGACATTGGAGCGGACAGCCCTGTAAGTTGAACGAAGATGTCACCACCATCGCTAATCACGATCATTATCAGCAGCAATATTTTAATAATTATAGCAGCATCATTATCACCACCATCATCAGCAGCATTGTAAAGTTGTCTTCCTGCCCAAGTTCAAATGATATTGCACTTATCTCAGTTGGCATCTTTGAGCCATTTGTGGAATGTCCACATTACTAAGGCAGGGTGCCAGTATCTTCCCCCCCCCCTTCCCATTAGGTCAGCCAATGTTAATACACACCCAGTAAGTAACGATGACAACAATTCAATCATGTTAATCACTTTGCATACACGACGACGCACACAAAACGCCAATTCCGCCACCATTAAAATTAACAGCGTTGGAAGTAAGACTGTACAAATAAACAAAGGAGGCATCACAGGTGGCAAATAGGAGCACAACGAGCGGGAGTAAGGCCTGTGCCTTCAAAACCCCGCACAGATCACGCATGAAAGGATGGCGGGCATCATTTATTTATGGCCGCTTGGAAATGTTTCCCCCTTCTGTGCGAGCCCACCTTTTGAAATATGCATGACGGAGAGGGAGTGAGAGTCCCGTCATTACTGGCACGGAATGAAATTGTGACAAGATGGCCATGCGGGTGCCGTACTGGAGAGCGTTATTGTTCTCCGTTAAATTTACATCTTCGCCGAGCAAAGGCGCGCTTTCACACTGTGGAGCGCGCATCTGTCCCGTGCACGTGCCGCGTGCTGTCTCCGATGAAGGACAGACGCGGCATTACCTGCCGTACATTCGAAGTGCGTGGGCTGCTCTCAAGCGTTGCGTGGGGCCGAGGGCTATTCGCCAGCAGCTCAGTCCACATTCCTATGACGGGGTCTAGTGTATCCACATGACAGCTATCGTTGAATTTGTGGTAGGGTCAATTTTGCCTACCCTGGAGGGGGCATATAGCCTGAGTTGAAGTCTCATTTAAATGTCATACACTTATATACAATGAAACGCCTATAATCTACGACTCAATTCTCTGCAGCTCCTAATCAATCTGGAAGAATACCGACAGTGTGCATTTACCAGTGAGTAAATTAAATCATGTTGCCAGGTCATCCTCTTATCCACAATACATGTCATACTTGATATACATTATTTTCGCAAATAGGCACACATAATAGGTTCTGTCAATTACACCCACAAACAAAAAACAGAGACAAGAGAAGTTCAATTGTTACACAGACAAAGGCCACAGACTGACCACCTGCTTATTCTCGTAGACTATTGGGACAATTGTCCTGTTAGCGAGCACCTAATAGGTGCACTGTTCCCATTTGTCCGAACCAAATTACTCGATCCTACCATTGCGCCTTCTGGATGTGCCCAGAGGTTCAAACACTTTACAATATTGTTCCCCAAAACATAATGAGCTCTTGGGCTCCCATCACCACCATCACCACCACCACAACAAAGCACTTTATGACGAATTGCTCACAGCACCCTTAGGCTGCCGCAGCTGTTGCAGTGAGCATCACGTGAGCTCTCTGCGTTTGACCCATTGGTGAACACCCCATGCGAGACGTTTCCACATTGCAACGCCTGGGGGGGCACGGGGGGCGTGCTGTGTGGTGTAGGAGGGATCTTTGGCGATTTACATTTATAGGGCAATCGCGAAAGGCATTGTGGAGATTATAAGCAACAAAATGAATAAGCAGACACTTTTGTACGTATATATGTTGAACTTCTTTCGCACCGTACGTAGGCAACTGTGCAACGTCTCCTTCCAATGTCTGTCTCCCTCCACGTAAAAAAAACAAGTTTGTTTTACATGCACCTCTAACCTGAAGGGGCAAGGACTATTAGTGAGCAATGGATAATCTGAATAAATGAATAATCATTTCCAATTATTTGCCCAGCAAAGCTTTACTGAATCTCGGAATTGTTTCATTCGGGTCTGGCTCCTTTGGCATGTTGGGCCATTGCCATTGTAAGTGTTTGACTTCACGTGGGAGGGAAACGAAGGTGAGAAACTCAGCACAAAATTTCGATTTAAAGCTTTCGTGACTGCAGGGATTCATCTTCTTGGTTCTTTCGGTAAAGTCACGTAGAAGGGAAATAATAAAATAATAAAAATAAAACATAATAAAATAATTCTCACGACGTTTCGGCCACAACGCAAGCAGACGTCCTCAGGTGAAGAACAGGTCTGTCGGAAAGACAGCGTCATTCAGGCCGAAACGTCGTGAGAATTATTTTATTATGTTTTATTTGTATTATTTTATTATTTCCCTTCTACGTGACTTTACCGAAAGAACCAAGAAAACTCAGCACTGCCATCCCATAGCCGCCTCGCAGCCCACAACACCTGGCGGCAAGCCCCGGTTGGTCACCCATCCAAGTACGAAGCAGGCTGAACTTTGCTTGGCTTCTGAGACGCGATTCGATCCTGGAAAAGTATAGCGACTTGGGCAAAGAGCGATAGATGAGGACTGAAAGAATGAATGAATTTTCCATTCACTCGAGACGAATGTGGCTCCAGCTGCGTCAACACAAAACCCATTTCACTCATGCCCGTAAACAATTCACAGCAGCCAGCGCGTCCATTATCTTTCCATGAAATTACCAAAATAATCGTTACTACATATAAGCCAATTTAATAAACAAATGAATTGACTGGAACTTACATCAACCCTGTAAATCTGCACAGCTTGCGATCTTTGAATTTGACTTTTTTTTCCTGATTCATGGAACCTTCACATCACAAATAGGAAGATTAACCAGCATAGGGGTGCCATGAATGTGTGCTTTGTCGGTTTTAATATTATTCGAGAGAAGGTTTTTTTTTACTTTGCTATTTCATTTTCCATTCTGCAGCTATACAGATTAAATACAGTACGTTGCTGGGTTTTTTTTAGGCGACGTTAGTTGTGTCCGTAGCGTGTCTAGATTTTATCGGAGGTCCTCGTCCGAGCTGAGTGTGTCGGTTCTGGCAGAAGAGCGTTGGTGATCATTTTCACGGGAAAGCATCCGTGTGCAAAGAGGGGCTCAGCCGGGTTCCCAGTCTTGATTTTTAACTCTGGACAAACATCAAACATCTTTCAATAGATCAGTAGTATCAGAATTAGCATGATGACGTTTTTATAGATATTTGTAATATTGTCATTCTACCACCTGTGTCTCTGAAGCAATCACAACCGACCAATCACAACCGACCAATCACAACCGACCATTCCGTGTTGTTGCCCATACTCAAGGTCAGATTGTGCCCTCTCCAAAACCAACCTTGCATCGTGGGAATGGGACATTTTTGTGATCGATTGTTGTGCATTGATCAATTCTGTACCACTATTTGGCTCTCAACTGGAACAGCGGACTTGTGAAAATGTTTTGTTCAATCTATCGTACTTTCGTCATGATATCAGTGTAAATATTTGATGTAGTGTTTTTCTGCAATAACTTATTATAATTGTCGCAACACCTTTTGGTTAAAGTTTTCAACCTGTTGCAGTAATTATGGTAACACCTCTACGGTTGCAGCTAATGTCTGCAATACTGCAAGTACTTAATCCATTTACGCACAATTACTAAAGTTGAATTGCACGTACATGTAATGAATACGAAAATATTATTGGTTATTTCGGTAAAGTCACGTAGAAGGGAAATAATAAAAGAATAAAAATATGAAACAATAAAATTCTCACGACGTTTCGACTGCAACACAAGCAATCATCATCAGCTGTGGATTTCACATCTCATGATAATTGCTTGTGTTGCAGTCGAAACATCGTAAGAATTTTCTTGTTTTATATTTTTTTAATTGATTATTTCTCTTCTACGTGACTTTACCGAAAGAACCACGAATATGAATCCCTGCAGTCACGAAAGCTTTAAATCAAAATACGTAACATATTTAATAAACACTCAGTGACAAATTACCGAATATATTTACAGTTTGATATTTACAATTTAATAAAATGTAAAAATAATGGCAACTACAGTTTAATCCAAGTCACATTCCGTCACCGTGAAGCAGAGCTCAAATTAACTCGAGAAACAGCGGGTCGGTTTTAAACTCAAGAAACATGAATTCAATTGTGTTGTCTGATAGTGTGCTGTCTTTGAGTTGTACGCCTTTTGGCGTCATCTGGTCCAACACCAATGGAGACTGGGCTCTAAGAAAAGCTGTCTCGGATGTGGACCAATCAACTTCAAGAACAGTGCATATCATTATCATCATCAGAGTTGTTTCTTTTTGTTTGCATTTTGACTGCTTGTGTTGTGGTTATTGCAAACATGATGCCTTGTATAAAGGTGTCAGTTGTTGTACCAGTTGAAAGGGTAAAAACCTGTTACTATATTTTGCCACTGGTAAAGGAGATGTCTCATAGTGTTCAATTGCGTCGTTTTTTTTAATTCGTTATAATGGTTGTCTTTTCCTTAGGAACGGCTGTTCATGACCATTTCCAACTACATCTTCACGGCCGTTTTTGTGACTGAGATGAGCATCAAGGTAACAAACATCTGCTGTGTTCCCTGTTGTGTTCCCTGCTGTGTGCCCTGTTGTGTGCCCTGCTGTGTTCCCTGCTGTGTTTCCTGCTGTGTTCCCTGTTGTGTTCCCTGCTGTGTTCCCTGTTGTGTTCCCTGCTGTGTGCCCTGTTGTGTGCCCTGCTGTGTTCCCTGCTGTGTTTCCTGCTGTGTTCCCTGTTATGTTCCCTGTTGTGTTCCCTGTTGTGTGCCTTGTTGTGTTCCCTGCTGTGTTCCCTGCTGTGTGCCCTGCTGTGTGCCCTGTTGTGTTTCCCTGGTGTGTGTCCTGCTGTGTTCCCTATTGTGTTCCCTGTTGTGTGCCTTGTTGTGTTCCCTGCTGTGTGCCCTGCTGTGTGCCCTGCTGTGTTTCCCTGGTGTGTGTCCTGCTGTGTTCCCTGTTGTGTTCCCTGTTGTGTGTCCTGTTGTGTTCCCTGCTGTGTTCCCTGTTGTGTTCCCTGTTGTGTTTCCTGCTGTGTTCCCTGTTGTGTTCCCTGTTGTGTTCCCCGTTGTGTTCCCTGCTGTGTTCCCTGCTGTGTTCCCTGCTGTGTGTCTTGTTGTGTTCCCTGTTGTGTTCCTTGCTGGTATGCAGGAGGTCGTGGGTCCGATCCTAACCCTGACCCCTGCATGTTTGCGTGTCTCTCCCCGTGTGGTGTTTTTCTCCGGGTTCCTCCAGTTTTTCCCTCCACATTTGGAATCAACATTGCGTTTAGAGTATTTGGCTGCTAGAAATGTCCACATCGTCAGCCACTTCGTTGAGCTGTCATTTGTTACCAGGTCGCTTCTGAAAAAGCGCTGTATAGCTGAATGGGCCTTAACCAGAGAATTTGTAAAATATATAGTTTTAGTCCTTTTGGTGATTTTTGTTTATTTTACCCGACGTTTCGGGTGCTTGTGTTGCGCCCGAAAAGTCGTGATTTTTTTTTCTACCTACGTGACTTTACCGAAAGAACCAAAGAGTATGGATCTGGGTTGTCTATAACGGGACTCGAACCCTCGGCGAGCACTGGCACAGTGAATGGAGTGCTGCTCACAGACACCCAATCCAGCACAGCCACGCCTACGACTGTACACGTGTACGCGTGTTTGCTTGTTGAAGGTTGTGTTTTATACGTGAGGGTTAAAGGTCGGGGTCACAGCACTGTGACATCACAATTTGGTTACATATTGAGGTTTCTGTCCTAACGGCGGCGAGATCACTCGCCCGGCGCAGGTCACCGCTCACTGAATTTGCTCGCGAGAAAAAAATTTTGGCGAACGTTGTTTCAGACAATCTTGCCCGCACGTTCTTGCACTTGACAACCGTGAGCACGTGATGGATAACCGGAGGGTCACAAGTTCAAATGCCAGTTGTGGGTTGACTCGGGACACACTTCGCATCGTCATAATTCCTCTCTGTGATCATACAAATTAGCACCACTCTGTGGCAAGTCAGCATTTGTTATCCAATGGATGGGTTGGCTCCTTGCCATAGGAAAGTGGAGTGAGCAATTTCACTTCGATGAATATGGGTTCTATTGTCAGATTTGCACCAACATTGGTGTTGAGTGATATCTGAAACTGTGCTGATCCACCCCTAGGTCCACTCAACTGTAAATAATAACCCCTTGCAGTGTGCGGTCATCGCCACTGCAGAAACGAAGGTGGCCACGTGTATGGCCACACGCGCGTGTGCTCTTCCTGATTCACATCCTACACATGCCCCCCGTGCAGCTACGCAGCGGCGTATCGCTCACATCGGCCACACACGGACGCATCCCTTCCACCAACTGCCTTGTCCATCGTAATATTGAGTGTTTGTACACTTATGCAAACCGCGTCACACTGCGCTCTGCAATCTGCAAGCACGGATGTTGCGTAGATCACACGATGTTTTCACCCTCTTAACGGTGAGTGTTAATATGCACGGGAGGAAACCGGAGCTCCCGGAGAAAAGCCACGTTGTGAGGGGGATAACATCGTATCCCGTGCAGATAGAGAGACAGATGATACCAATCCCCACAATTCCTTTGCTGCCTTTCTCAGGACGGGCCAGGCTATGGCACCTCCTCGATACCTACAGGAAGGGAGTTTCGCTGTGTGTGCGTGTATGTGCATGTGTGCGTGTGTGCGTGCGCGTGATCCACAAACCCTCGCCGCCTCCACGGCTTTGCGGCCTTGCCCATCCAGGGCGGTCATCGTCGAGCCGATAATGTGGCACGGCCGAGGATGGGTGCTCGCTAACGGCGCTTGCCTCTGCTTGGTCCGTAAGTCTAACCGGGGGGCGGCGGGGTTGGGGACTGTTTGCTCTGCCCTTGTAGGTGATCGCAATGGCGCTGGTCTTTGGGGACGGCGCGTACCTACGCAGCACGTGGAACACGCTCGACGGGTTCCTGGTCCTGGTCTCGCTGGTCGACATCATCGTGTCGCTTGCGTCCGACAGTGGAGCGCGCATCCTGGGCATCCTGCGCGTGCTGCGTCTGCTGCGCACGCTGCGACCCCTCCGGTATGTGGAGCCAGCAGCGCCGTCGCCACCGCCGCCGCAACTGCCCAGCCACTCCACGCAGCCGCCGATCAACTCGTGCAAATCCATCACTCACTCACTCGACCACTGACCCGCTCGTGATTTCACTCACTCGCTCATCCATGGACCCACTCGCTCGCAAGCTTGGCTGCTTACCCATGCACCCGCACGCAACCCGCTTACCAACTTGCTCGATTGCCTATTCATGCACTCACGGAATCGATCACTGATGTACTCACTCATTAATTCCCTCACTCATTCACCCGCTCACTCATTCACTTACTCACTCACTCCCCTCTCGTACTGTGTATAATCATTCTTTCCCTCGCCCACTCAGCCACACATCCCTCCAATCTCGCTCGCGTTGCCCACTATACATGCATACAGTCATACATACGTGCGTGCATACGTACTGAAAAGGGCGTATACATACACGAGGACATACACACGCACACATTGATATGCACGCACGGATTGATGTATCATCCACCACCCGCATTAAGCAGCCCCCACTCCAATCACCGCAATCGACAACTGCCGAGCCCTTGCCGGGCCGTGACCTATCTCTTTGCCGCTCCAATTTGTCCGATGCCTTTTTCCCTGAGAGACTCGATAGGGCACAGGGCTGGGGGTGGCTGCTGTGGTGAAGAGAGAGAGAGAGGGGGGGAGAGCGATAGAGCGATGGGGGGGAGGAGGGTGAGGTCGTGTTCTGGAGGTTCTTAAGGGTCCTGTATAATAGGCGTGCCAGGCAGATGATGCCGCTGAGAGTCTGGGAGGTTGAATTGGTCTCAGTTTATCGCATCTGAGGCTGGGTCTAAATGAAATGCTTGTTCTGTACTTGTTCTGAGCATCCAGCTTCTCAATGGAAATCCGGTCCCTTAGGGCCGCACGCAACTCACGCAGTGCCCCCCGGCAGCCATCGTGCATAGGGAGGCATCCGTTCACACAGCCGCTCACCACAGGTCCTGTTTTTACTTTCGATCCTTGGGTTTCTTCCGCGGGGGTTAGGTTCCTAAAAACCCCCATGGTTGGCTAAACCGTGGTTGGCAAGACTTAAAGGCTTATGGAAAATTAGTGGGGGGGGGGGGGGGTTAGTTTGACTGCTTCACTTCATCAATGACTTCAAGTTTGCATATAATTCTTCCGACGTCGCGTCAACGTCAGTGTTGAATCGCTCGCCATGGCACCGAGGACGCCCGCAAAGGTGCGGTGCGTGTAATAGCGCTTGAAAGCAGCCGTTACAGCCACGACTGCGCTTTGTGACTGACTGCCGCACCACAGCACTGAAGGACAAGCAAGTCCTGCACGCGGGGACGAGCGTGGGCACACGCGCTTGATGGCGGATGCTTGCACACAGCTGCAGATTTGAAACTGTGGTTACGCGAAACTGCATATCGTGGTTGGCAAAAACGGTTGTCCGTAACGTGGCGTGTGGATACGAGACAGCGTGGTTGGCGAGGGATTGCTGGACATGGCTACGGGAGAAGTGAAAATGTGCACGTGTCGTCGATGTTGCTGTGCGCGAGCAGCGTCGTCCTCCCCGAGTCGATGGGAATGACCGCGCACGTGTGCGAACGCGTGGACTCTCTTCGCCTATCAGGGTCATCAGCCGCGCGCCGGGACTGAAGCTGGTGGTGGAGACGCTGATCACGTCCCTGAAGCCCATCGGCAACATTGTCCTCATCTGCTGCGCGTTCTTCATCATCTTCGGCATCCTGGGCGTTCAGGTGAGCTCCCAGATTCGGCTCGATCCAGCTGATAACCCCCCGCCCCCTCTTCCCCCCCAAATCCCATAGTTGCAGTCCTCTGCATCCGCTCCCCCTTAAAACCCTTTCCACTTCCCACAACCCCCACCTCCTGACACGCGTCCCCTGCGGACACCTCGCTAGTGTGAGCCACGGTCACATCACCGTGCGCTGCTATTGATGTGCACGGGAATTTTCTCACGCATGCGCACGTACGCACGCGCGCACGCACGTGCATATACCCTCTTACGCTCATACGCGGGCGCACATGCACGCACATACGTACATACACACGTGCACAGACACAGACGCAGGTGCGTGCACACACAGATGCGCTTGTATACGCATGCACACACGCGCACATGCGCCCCCGTACCGACAAACCGCATACAACAACAAAGATCTCCCGTGTAGCCCATAACAGGCTGCTAGGCAAGTGCTTTATAGCAGGCATCTGTTAAGGCCAGCATGTCACACGAGGGGGGAGGTGTGGCCAATACCGAAAGAAATTAGTTTTCAATTTAGATTTAAAAGTGCATAACTCAAGTGGCTTCTGTGAGATCAAACACGATAAGCCAATGTGCTGTATATATATTGAGCTTCTTTCACACCATACATAGCTAACCGTGCTAAGCAGAGGTGCGGGGGAAGGACAACAAACTAAACAGAAAAATCAGTTCAAAAGAAATTAGTTTTCAATCTAGATTTAAAAGTGCATAGCTCCAGCGGTTAACTAATATCGGAAGGAAGAGCGTTCCAGACGGCCGCAGAAGCGCATCTGAAAGTGCACGATACAGTGACAGTCTTTGTTCGATGGTTAACCAAAAGCCACTGCAAGAATGACCGGAGTTCACGTGATGGTTTATGCTCCTTGACGAGGTCAACAAGGTATTGCTGGCATGGGTTGACTGACTGAGATGACTGGCAGATGCACCACCTGGTCGCCACACTGTGCCAACCAGCTGTGTTTTAGTGGCTCGGCGCTACGTGACACATGTGTGGGCTTGTGTCTCTGTATTGGTGGTAATTTACTTGTGTAACCAAGAAATTGTCACTCTCTCCAGTAATAAACAATTATCTCTGAGCTATCTAATAAGCTTTGATCTACTTATTTGACGGTAAAGAATGTGTGCAATTGATAGCAAGAATAAATAGTGGATACCTTTCCAGGGCCATACCAAATATTTGATCATCCTGAATTTATTTAATTTTTCCAATGAATACATTTAGGACAACAACGAATGATACAAATAACATAACATGATACAAATAACACGTGGCTTGGCTCTCCAACACACCGGTGTGCTGTACTAGTGACAAATTGGCCATGTTCTGCTAACGTGACGACCCTTACTAGTTGGCTGTGTCGGGTGGTGGTGCGTTTTAACGACACATATATTTACGCGATCTGACCCAAAAAAAACCTCTTATGGATGATATTGGTCGCGAAAGCTTACGTGTTAAACTAACATGTTCTTATTCTTGGTTCTAAATCTAAATTTAACATCTTCTTGTCCGTAGAATCCTAGTAAATTCCTTGCCACCTTCTAATTGTACACCCATTCATTGTATGTCTACATCCGGTGAAGTCATTCATTCGCTTGATAATCTACCTCCAACCGACGCAATCGACTGGCAATTAATTTGCGCCAGCTAGGCACAAAACTGATTATTTCTCTCCCTGCTGATGCACGCGGAGAGGACATGTGGGGAATATGGACGTGGTGGAGTTGGCGGTTGTGTAGCCAGCGCACCCCCCCCCCCTCCCGCGTTGAATTAGTTGCCAATTTCCACGCACGGACCGCAGCTAATTTGCACACTAAAAACTCCGGCACGGACTTATCGATGAATTGATCTGCAACCACAAAGAGGTCGCTTCTCAATGTGAAAGACTAAGACAAGAGGGGTGCGGTAAATGAATAGACAGGATTGTTTTAAAAGGCGGCATAAATGGTTCGGCTGTAAAAGATTCATTGATTTCTGTATTTAGGAGGAGGCTGCGTCAAGCCACTTAATAAATGTTTCAGTTTCGTTGAAAGTAAAGGCAGACCAGCAAATGCGGCAAGTATGTTAATCAGCGTCAATGATTGATCCAGAAAAGCCTCGATGAGGCCGAAGACTCTCATTTTGGGGGGAGTCCTGCATTGGAACGTTCGGCTAATTCCATTAAGGAGTGATTTTGCACGTGCTAAGTTTCTGAGATCGAATGAGATCAGGCACATTTAATGTGATTTGGTCATTGGCAAACTGGTTGCTGTTTTGCAATTTCCTGGCTTTACAAAATTTCCACCGTGAGTTAAGCACTCTGCCAACAGTACCACTTGGCCCGATTTTGTTATTTGACTTCAAATCCATACTTTGATGTACTTTAATATCCATATTCCAATACACTACAATGTCCTTACTCTTACGTGCTCTAATAGTCGTACTGCACTCTGTTGTACTCTAATACTTGTCCTATGATGTGATCTTACTCAGTGAAGGTGCCCCAAACACGTGTACTATGTGTACTTTAATGCACCGTCATCGCCAGACTGCGAAATGGAAATGTTGAAAATCCTGAAATGAAACATATTCATCCTGCAGCAGCCCATGGTCACTGCCATTTCCCCTGTGCGGGAAACATCGTGGGATAGGAAGAGGAACCGTTCTGAGAAGCGCCGGTATCACGCGGGTCTGATGGTCTGCAAAGTGGCAGTATGGTGCCGCGGTGGCGAGATGTTAACTAGCTCGCCTGGTACGCAGGAGGTCGTGGGTTCAATCCCGACCCTGACGATGCCTGCTGTATATTTGGAGTTTGCACGTTCTCCCCGTGGTCACGGGGATTTTTCTCCGGGTCCTCCGATTATTCCCTCCACATTTAGAAACGTGCGTTGAGAGTATTTGGCTGCTCGAAATGTCCACGTGATAAGCCACTTAATTCTAGATTTGAAGCTTTCGTGACTGCCAGGATTCATACGCTTTGCTTTTTTCGGTAAAGTCACGTAGGTAAAAAAATAAAATAAATGAAAACAACAAAATAAAATCACGACGTTTTGGAGGCAACACGAGCTTCCGTCTTCAGGTGGAACCGTTACAGGACTTTGGCTCGATTTAATTTAGTTGTTTTAATTTATTTTATTTTATTTTTTACTTCCGTGACTTTACCAGAAAAAAACAAAGAGTATAAGCCGCTTCGTTGAGCAATAATTTGCGACCAGGTCGCATTTGAAGAAGAGCTAAATATTAGTACTCTAAAATGTGCGTGTGCTCGAATGTACTCCAATGCTTTTGGTACGATGTATTCTTAAATTCGCAATGTACTGTTATAATCGCAACGGTATATACTTTATATTTTTGGTTCTTTCGGTAAAGTCACGTAGAAGGGAAATAATAAAATCTATAAATATAAAACAATGAAATTCTCACGACGTTTCGACTGCAACACAAGCAATCATCATCAGGTGCGAAATCCACAGCATGAAAATTTGAAAAAAGTGGCGTTTTTTTCTTAACGTCAGCACCACGGACAGCGATTTGGCAGTTGGTCAGATGGACGAGTCCATCTATGTTCGGAAAAGAGGAGGGGGGATAAGAAGAGAATGGAATGCGGTCTGAAAGTCCCCGTAAGCGTGAGCACAATCAATTAAGACCCGAAATGGTTTATCAAATCCTTCCAATGATTGCTAAGCCAGAATCCATCTTCTCGGTTGAAATTGGCTCTGTGTTTGTATATGTGGATAGCCTCATGAACGAATCTCTCATGGTAGCCAGATGGCTTGCAGAGAACCTCTGTCTTGGAGAAGTCAATGTCATGTGAGCCCACTGAATTATAACAGTGATCTGCCACGGCCGAGGTGTTGGTCCTACCGTGTTTTAGGTCTACTTTGTGCTCACGGATGCGGTCAGAGACATGTCGTTTGGTTTCTCCAATGTAACTAAGTTTGTAGACGCCACGGTATGTCCGGAATCACACCCTTTACAGACGGAATCAGATCACGGATTTTATGTAATGTGTTGAATCGGACCTGGATCTTGTGTTTATTCAAGATTTTGTAGATCTTTTTTGTGATCCCGCAATGTAGGGTAAGGTGATGGTTTTGAATGGCTCCTCAAGAGGGTCCTTCTTCATGGTTGGACTGATGGCTTTGCGGATATATACTTTACCGTGTGTACTCTAATGAGCCACTTTAGTCCAAGTTTAAAGGTTCGAGTTTCACGATGACCCTCAAGTGAATGATCACAGCAACGGTTTTCGCAACTATGAGCTTCCATTATGGGCAATTGCACAGGGAAAAAATGTACCCACAATTATCTGCATTTTCACAGTGAGTGGTCACAGAGCTATCTGTAGTCGAGCCCCGTGGGTCTAATTCGCGTGACCTTGTATAAAACATGAGAAGAGAAATATTTTTTTAAATTAATGATGGTAATTTCATCAGTTATGGCTGAGCGTTTGACGTATTTCGGGGTTCGTACTCCTCCCCCGGGGAGATTTAATTTCACTTCCGCAAGACAGACATGCGTCGGGGACATTTCTAATTTTAAAATGTACTTTTAGACGTTGTTGTTGTTGTTGCTGATGCGAGGTTATTATTCTGATTATCTTCACGAGCATTTTCAAATATAGCATTTTGGGCTTTGACATTGGAACACAATAATGGGCCACTCGTTGCGAGTAAACTGCGAGTTAAAAAAAAAAAAAACTGTTTGGCACGTCGCTAATCGAAGATCACACAGAGGTCTCCGTTTGCTACGAGACTCCGAATCCGCTTGGTTATCACTGCGTGACAGTACAGCAAGTGAATGTATCGATTTCAGAGGGCAAAATCCATAATTGTTCTGTACAAAGGCAAAGATCCCCCATTAGCCATGACACAGACTGTTGAGGCAAGTGCTGTTAGCGAGCACCTATGAAGGCCGGCACTGCACACGAGGGTGTGGGTGGACAGAAACACGCGCGGCCGCATCTGTCTCCCCAGTGCCGATGTTTACATACCGCA